ATTTTCATCTTTGTTGATTAACATCAGTTCTTGAAAGGTATAGCTATCACGAAAAAGCACTGCATAAAAGTTGAATAATTGAATCAAGCCACAAGTATTTGACAATGTAACCGATTTATTTTTGACAAGTTTCACCGGCTTCAGGTTTACCCAATGAACTATAACCTAGACTGGAACGAGTACACATATTAACGGACGTGACGCCACATTGCTAAACAAGTGCCGCTGCTGCGGAGGGGATACCCGTCTTTGTCGTACTCATTACGTTAAATGATTTTAAAACGTATTGTAAATGATAAAATTTTAATAATTTTGTTTTGTTCTGTTTAGAAAAGAGCAATTAGTTTTTTATTTAATAGGAAAAAGATAAAATAACGTTTAAATAGTTCAAGGGAAAATTAACCAATGCTTTTAGTTACTAAGAAAAAAAAATGTGAGGTTCTGTTTGCATGGCATACCTAATTATTATAAAAACTTGTATTCTTTTCAGGCTTAAGCTCTAAAAACTATTAGATGTCGAAAATACATTCTAAAGGGCCGGTTTCTCAATATCGAGTCACCTCTGGGTTGGTTTTTAACTCCAGGTTAAACGTTTCCAGTTGCAATATTTACCCTGGAGCGAGCCCTGGAGTAAATGCTTAACCCGGGGTGTGACTTATTGCTATTGAGAAACCGGCCCAAAAACACAGTATCGATTCTTAATTTTATTTTTCATTTCAAGAAACATAAGCCATATTTTTTTTTAACAATGGGATAAAGCTAACATTTTTCACATTTGCAATAGGTGAGGGTTTTCGGGACTTAAAAAATAGTCAGTTTTGATTGAAAATATTTTTATTACAATTCAGTACAAATTACAATAATCTACTTTTTAATTAATCTAATTTTAATGTAGGTATACAAATTAGCTATTGAACTTGTCCAAGACAACCGAGAAGACAACCAATGGTTGTCTCTGAAGTTGCTCTAAAGACTAAAAGTAATGGACAGTAATAGAGACAAATACTACAAAAAAACAATTAAGGTACCTGTCGCAAATTAGGCTATGTTCAGATGCTTTATTATTTTCC